ACCCATCTCGCTTGACTTGGTGCAAATAACCCCACATGCAACTATTACTGTAACAAAATAATTTTTCATGAGGGATCATCAACATTAACTAAGTGTTTTAACCAGAAGCCCTCATCACATGACTGAAACTTCTGGTTTGTTTGAACTACCATTAATTATTCCAGCTTGACTCTTGTTCATCAGTCTGCTTGTAATACCCCAAGAGTAAGCAGCTGTAGGCTTAGCTGAACTTCTGTCTGTGACTTCAATATCTCCTAAAAGCCTGATTCCTGAAAAGAGATTTGTGCGGCCTGCAAAATTAAAACATTCCTTTCATCAGCAATTTGAGTGTGACTGAGCCCCTGCAAAAAAAATCTTCTGTGCGTAGCCAATTGAAAGAACCTCATCCAAAAATTGACTTACTGGATTCTCTAATTAATGTGAAATAATTTTGACATCTTTGATTTTAAATAATTTGTAACTTTTCTGCTTTCCCTTGGAAGGATGTGTGTATGAATCTACTTTACAAACCATTTCCCCTGATGTTTGAATGCAGTAATAAACCCTACATTGATTTAACTCCAAAGAATGTGTTTTTATTTAAACAGGACTTCACAAACAGGTTTTAGGGAAATGCATCTTTCCCTTTCCTTTTTTTTAAATGTTAAAATTGAAAAATTAGCAGATACCTCTGCTATGTACAGAAGACTGAGACGGCAGAATGTCCAAAGATGTGCAGGTGGATTAGCCATGAGAAATGCAGGGTTACAGGGATAGGGTAATGGGATTGGGTCCAGGTGAGATATTCTTCACAGGTCAGTTAAATTTGATGGGCCAAATGACCTACTTCCAAACTGCAGGGATACTGTGATTCTGTAATAAGTCAATTCATTTCTCCATTTTGCCTGTGATACTTGGTACGGGTGAGCTATGTACACTTTTCTTGAATAAGAATAGTCTTTTGGATGTGAATGGGAAAAGAAAGAAATGGAAATAGATGGAAAATGATTTCTTTGTGTGTTCAAACAAAGGTTCAGGTCAAATCGTCCTTTTACTCTAAATCTCCTGTGCAAAATATTTCTGGGAACCAAAAGAACAATTGTGTAATCTGACTTGCAACATGTTGACTCATTCAGGTTTTGTTTTAAGTTTTCTGATTTGGTGTCCAGCTGTTATACCTTTCTCCATTATTTTTGTGGAGATGGAGAGTAGTTAGTGAGTTTGATGGAATGTGAATCATTGTTATCACTGACAAAAAAACAGCAAGTGAATGGAATGTTTATTTCCTGTTCTCAATTTTAATATTTTGAATTTGGATTAAAGGTGCAGTTTTGATAGACTGTGCATCAGATTTATCTGAATTGATGCTGTGTTTAATTTTGCTTCTGTCCCTTGTTCACCTGATCAAGAAAGTGAAAGGACCCCTAAATTTAAAAAATAATCCAAGTACAGTTATAAATTGGAATTAAAATTTATTATACTTTTTGTTTTGAATTCTACTTATCTTTAGTTTGGGTGAAGGAAAGTTGAATGCAGCCAGCAGTCCAGTATGTTTGGCTCTTGTTCACAGGGCATATGGAGATCTGTTTATTCCAAGGCAGTTTAAATACCAAGGTTCAGAGTCAAAAGTTAAATGAATCACAAATGTTATTCTGTCTTGAAGCAAAATAATGACAAAGTGTTCCCAACTACACTCCTTGTCATGATTATTTGCTTTGAGCATTTTCTGATTTGGCACAATACATGTTCATTGTAAACTTTCTGATTTGGAGCAAGTTCTGAATTTGCTTCCAGGAAAACAAGCATGATATGTTACTTCAGAAAAAGTGAAAAAGCCTCATGTTTCTGATAGTTTAATGATGCACAGTACTTTTTTTGACATTATTAATGAATTTCTCTTGTCAATTCTTGACCCTTGCTCTTGATAAGCACAGAAATGTACAAATATTTAGAAAATAACTTATTCAATATATGATTAGTTGGAAAGGTCAAAGGTTTATCTATGTTCCTTAACAGTCTATTATTGATTGTTGAAAAGGTGAGCTGTGCAAGACACATTTTTCCTGATTAGCTAAACACCTCAGACTGGCACATTATTGGGTGGCTGATCTATGAGAAAATAGCAGGTCAATTTTCAAACGCTGTCAAGGGCAACCTTGTCAATATAGTGTAGAGCTGGAGGAACACACCCTCCTGATGAAGGGTGTAAACTTGAAATGTCGACTTTCCTGCTCCTCTGATGCTGCCTGACCTGCTGTGTTCCTCCAGCTCTACACTGTGTTGACTCTGACTCCAGCATCTGCAGTTCTTGCTATCCCTGCGCAGGCTCTGGTGGTCGGGGTTAAATGATGCTACCTTCAAGCTGTACTTTCGTATGGCTGTTTTGAATCAACAAAGCATCTTTGTAGTTCTGAATTATGAGTTTTGTTATTTTCTGTTTTCGCCATGACTATTTACAAATCATTCCATCTCGTGTGTGTGTGTCTGTTTGTTTTGTGCATTTTCCTTTCTTCTTTCATTCTATTATTTTATGAGTGCAGTTAATCTTTAATATCCTTCAGTTCTGATGCTGAGCCTACACCTGAAAAATTGACTTCTTTTATTTCCACTGACACTAATTAACATGTTCATTGCTTTCAGCATATTCTGTCTGCTTTCCATCTAGTATGATCCTTTAGTTGATTTATACTTGTATTTTTTACTATTTCCCATTTCTATAAATATCTTTTCAAAGGCTATAAAGGAAATCCTGAGCTAAGTATTATTGAAAAAATTAGAACAATAAAGGTTATTTACCAGTAAATGGAATTTATACAACGCTTAATAATTAGAAAGCCTCAGGCTTTCAAATTGAATGCAAGAAATGTTAATTCTTCCTGTAAACATTGTAGAACACATCATAAAAACAATAGATCACCATAGGGTAAAATATTTAAAGGGAATATACATCTTACAGCATTTTCCAGAAATCTTAAATGTGATTGTCATTTGTGATGATTTCAAACAAATTATAACATACCTTGCTTAACTAGCCCACATTTCAAAACCAAAGCAAATATCCACTGTTAAACATGTTTCTGTGATTGGGCAGCATATGCTGAACAATCCTGAATACACTGATAGCCAAACTGACAAGCAATTAAGATAATCAGCTCATAACATAGCTCCTTTATGCTTACCAGAAGTCACACGTGTTCATTGACTGGCACCCATTCTCTGCAAACGAAATAAATGTGTTTAAACTTCACTTTTTTTTAGATTACCTGGCAGCTTCGGGAGCTTATAGTTCCTCACTGGTTTCTATGTACAAGAGTCTCAGCCAATCAATGTTGATTTGTCTGCGTCTCTCGTTGTATAACTTGATGTTTGTTTGAAATTTAAATTTTTTACGTTTGTCCCGATGATTACAAGATGAAAAGCTTCAGTGGCACGTATTTCTTTTCAGCAATGTTCAAATTGCTATTGTATAAGATTGAATATAAATGAGTAGAATTAATTCATTGACCATAAAATATCATAATGGGATACATTGTTGTCCTTAAATAGTCTTATATTGCTGTGTGTATTTTTTTGAATGTTCATGGGATGTGTGGAAAGACCATAATTTGTTTCTGATCCTTATTTGTCCTTGAGAAGGTGCTGGTGAGTCAATTTCTTGAACTGCTGCAGTTCACAGTGTATACACACCCACAAGGTTGTTGGGAAGGGGTATCCAGGACTTTGACCTAGCAACAATAAAGAAATGGCAGTATATTTCCAAATCAGGATGGTGAGTGGCTTGGAGGGGAATTTGCAATTGGTGAAAATCCCATGCTTCTGCTACCTGTGGACCTGTAAGCGAAAGTTATAAGTTTAAGTTATATAAATTGTTGCCAAAGTAGGCTTAACAAGTTGCTGTAGTTCATCTTGTAGATTATTTATTCTGCTGTCACTGTGCATCTGTGGTAGAGGGAGTGCATGATTAAAGTGGTGGATAGGTTGTCAATCAAGTGGCTGCTTTGTCATCTGTGGTGTTAAGTCTCAAGTGTCGCTGGAGCTGCACTCATTCAGACAAGTCACACTCATAACTTCTGTCTAGTGCATGGTGGACAGGCTTTGTAGCAAATAGTTCACCTCCTAACTATTCAAAGTTTCCAGCCTCTGACCTGTTCTTGTAGCTACAATATTACTGTAGCTGATCTCATTAAGGCTTTGGTCAGTGGTAGCTCATATGACGTTCACATTCATGAATGATAAAGTGATTGAATGTGAAGGGAGATGTACTTTTATTCTCTATTTATGAAGATAGTTATTATTTGCACTTGTGCCACGTGAATGTCACTTACTACATATTAGCCCAACCTGAATGTTTTCTGGGTCTTGTTGCATGCAGGCATGAACCGCCTCAGTATCTAAGGGGTTGTAAATCATATTGAACATTCCAATCTTCAGCAAACATTTTAACTTCTGACCTCTACGATGGAAAGAAACTATTGAAACTACTCAAAATGGTTTGGTCTAGGGTACTACACTGAGCAACTCCTGCAGCATTGTTCTGGGCTTAGATGATTGGCTTATCACAGTAATCGTTCTTTATGCTGACATATCAGTCTAACCTAGAAACATAGAAGATAGGAACAGGAGGAGGCCATTCAGCTCTTTGAGCCTGTTCTGCCATTCATCACGTTCATGGCTGACCGTCCAACTCAATAGCCTAATCCTCCTTTCGCCCCATAACCTTTGATCCCATTCGTTCCAAGTGCTACATCTAGCCGCCTCTTGAATACATTCAATGTTTTGGCATCAATGAATTCCACAGGCTTACCACTCTTTGGGTGAAGAAATGTCTCTTCATCTCCATCCTAAATGGTCTACCCCAAATCCTCAGACTGTGACCCCTTGAGTTCCATTGCACTGAATTTACTAGGATTCTTTAATGCCACACTCAGTCAAACGATGTTGTGGTATTAAGAAAGCTCATCCAAGCCTCAACACTTGATGCAGACGTGGAGCTTAATTCAACTGTAATGAGGTATGGAACAGGGTGGCCCTAATGTCTCCTACATTGTACATCAGTGAACTATAGGTTATTCATTCAGACACCCACAGTCAGTGCAAGAGAACTTTTGATGAGTATGGTCAGCCAACACCTGATATTCTTTGTTGAACCTCGACCTACACAACTAATATTAATACTTGGTTATTATCAACTGACAAAGACTACAGAAGAGTTTGCACATGTTTTTCCACATCAAACACTTTTTTCCTGCTTCTCATCTCCAAACAAACTGTCTTCCTGTGTAATGTCCTGCCCTGATCTTCTGTTTGAAAATTTTTAGGATTCTGATACTCCTCCATTTCTCTTGTTACAGGAAGTTTGTGAAGACATGATTAATAAAATTATGGCAGAAATCACAGAACGGACCACTGCTGGAAGGATCACTTCTGATGTCAATTGCCTTCCTATCTCTTCATCTAGTGGGGGCAAACCTCACATTGGCCTGGTTGTTGATGGAAAAACTTTAGAATTTGTGCTGCATGAAAGTCTGCAAGATATGTTTCTGGAACTTACTAAACGATGCTGTGCTGTTATATGCTGCAGATCAACACCATTGCAGAAGAGCAAGGTTGTCCATCTAGTGCGCACTAAGCTGAAAGTCATGACTCTAGCCATAGGTAAATTAACATAATGGAATTCCTGAGTAACCTTTGTTGCATAACTATTTTTAGGAATTATCCTAAAATATATTTAACTGACAGTGTACTGTATGTACTGTAGCAGGAGGTAAGGGTGGTGTGTCAAATGAAAAACTTCTACACTAATATGTCTCAATCATGGAAACAGGCACAATACAACTGGGATTGAAGAAAGAATCACACTTTACTTCTCTCACTCTATATAGCAAATTTATAATTAATTTTAGAAAGTATATTAATATAAACATCGGTATACACAGTAACTTTGTATTTACGTTAAAACAGTGGTTAGTGTTGATGGTTATACTTCACTCGTGCTTCCTTGCATCCTTCTTCATCTACATATCTTTCAGTTCCTTTTTTCCTTGTGTGTACCTAGTTTCACCTGAAATGCATCTTTGCTAGTTATCTTTATCACTGCTGTGGCAGTAGGTTTCACACATAAACAAGGGTATGCTATTTGTGACAAAAACCGAAAGAACTGCGGATGTTGTAAATCAGGAACAAAAACAGAAGATGCTGGAAAAGCTCAGCCGTTCTGGCAGCATCTGTGAAGAAAAAATTAGAGTTAACGTTTCGGGTCCAGTGACCCTTCTGAGGGTTCTGAGGAAGGGTCGCCGGACCCAAAACGTTAACTCTGATTTTTTCTTCACAGATGCTGCCAGACCTACTGAGCTTTTGAGCAACTTCTGTTTTTGTTCCATACTATTTGTGACTGTAGTTATAGCAATATACTATCTGTTTTATGTGAAAAATCTATGAGGTTAATTTTAAAATATGTCCAACTAATGGAAACAGGACTGTAAAAATGGCAAGCAATAATCTCCTGGCTGCTGAATCCCTGGAGATGGCCCATCGACCTATTGCTATTGACACGCAGCTCTCGAAGTAAGCGTCACAACAGGACATTCTGGCTGAAATCTGCTCAGCAGGAAATCCACATTTTTTAAAAATATGTGCATTGAAATTATATATTTGGTGTTTATCTAGTCCCAGTTGATTGGGATTAATCCTTGATATTCTACATGTAATTTTTGTTACTTTACAACAACTTGGGTTAAATTAATCAAAAAGCAGTATATATTACAATGCTGATCTGAAATAAAAACAGAAAATACTCGAAATACACAGAAGGTTGTGGCACCATCTGTTGCAAACAATTAGATTTAAAATTTTACGATTATGACCTTTCACATTGAAAGAAGTACATATAAACAATAAGAGCTGCCCTTTTTTATCTCCTCTTCCTCAATTGTCCAAAACCCCAAACACTTCAAGATAAAGCAATGATTCACTTAATGCATCTTTCCATCTAGTCTATTGTACTTGCTGTTCACAATATCATCTCAATACGGCAAGACTAAGCCCAGATTTGATGAACACTTTATGGTCTGCAAACTTGACCCCAGCCTTCCGGTAGCCAGCCACTTTAATTCACCACCTTGCTCTAACACTGACATTTCTGTCCTTGACCTACTTCATTGTTCAAGTGAAGCGCAATGTAAGCTCGAGGAACAGCAGCTCTTCTTTAAGTTAGACACTTTAGAGGCTCCAGGACTCAGCGTTGAGTTCAAAACTTTCAGATCATAATCTACAGTCCATTTTGTTCCTTGTTTTATTATTTTTTACATATCAGTTATCAGCATGTGTGCTTTAGGAAATTTCTTTTTGTTTCTTTGTTCTTTTCTTTCCTCATCATCATTCCCTTTGACCCTGTAAGAAGACATTCAGTTTCTCCTCATTCACTCCAACACTGACTTTCCTTTTGTCCTTGTCCCAATCAGCCCTTGCTTACCGAATCTCAACTGCAACAGTGCAGAAGGAAGCCATTCAGCAATCGTGCCTGCACTATCTCCTTGAACATTTAGACCGAGTGCCAATTTCCTGTCTTTAAGCATCTAACCCTGCACATTATTTAAATTAAAATAATGATCCAATGACTCAATTCAACTTGTCTCTACCATACTTTCAGTTAATGCATTCCAGAACTCAAAACCCATCACATCTCTTAACTTTTCCCAGTCACAAGCCTGAAACATTAACTCTTTTTCACTCCACAGATGCTGCCATAACCTGTTGAGTATGTCAGCCTGCTTGGTTTTCATGTAAAATTAACATAATCTTTAAAAAAAGTTAGATTTTGACTAATTTTTACATCTGCATTTTAATGAAGTCAAGAACATGTATTGAAGGAAACCTTGTCCAAATATTACAAATTTGACTGTCTATGGAATGCTGAATATATTTGCACTTCATAGACTCCTTAATGTAGCCCTATTTGTCCTGTTGAGCAGATAGTAAGGAATTACAAAATGAGACACTCCAAATTTGTTTGGCTCAGCTTAGATTCTTGATATTAATGTCATTGCAATGAATCAATTTGAAACCTGAAATAAAATCAGAAATTGCTGGAAAATCTCAGCAGGTCTGGCAGTATCCTTGGAGAGAAAGCAGAGTTTATGCGGGGGAACAAATAACAAAGAAAATTACAGCACAGGAACAGGCCCTTCGGCCCTCCAAGCCTGCGTCGATCCAGATCCTCTACCTAAACCTGTCACCTATTTTCCAAGGATCTGTATCCCTCTGCTCCCTGCCCATTCATGTATTTGTCTAGATACATCTTAAATGACGCTAACGTGCCCGCCTCTACCACCTCCACTGGCAACGCGTTCCAGGCACCCACCACCCTCTGCGTAAAGAACTTTCCACGCAT